ATAGTTAAAGAGCGCTAGTAGTGAGCAAGAGAGCAATAGCAGCGTGGCGAGAGGAGCGAGCGTGGTGAGCTGAACAATACTGTACATCTTCTTGATATAAGGCCATCGTGTAAGGGCGGCGAGGATGAGGCGTAGACAGCCGCTGCGGATGAAGAACACGGAAAGAATTAAACAAGCGCCACAGAATAGCGCGGTTGTTTCACACAGAAAGTTGACTGTGATAACCGATCATATATTACAAATGGACCCAAAAAAATCTACAAGTGCGAGCGATATAACAAGAAACCAAAATATTGTGAATCAAGTATGCAAAATGGGTCCTGCCTCTCCGGGATCCTGACATTCTCCAGCCTCATTGCAATGAGCACGGTGCGCAAGGAAACTCCGGCGCAATTTGCAGCTTCTGCAAGAAACATAAGCGTGCATAATAATGCCCATACATCCATAGGAACCCCGATGCGTGAATTCCATTCCATAAATGCGACGCCGCTAGGTGTGTCAATAAAGTCGTCTTGATGAGGGACGATATAATGAGGAGGATAAGTGCGGACGGAAATGCGTGGTGGAATAACATTTTTGAGCGCAACTAGAGAAATAGTGTAAACACACCTAGAGTTATCCAAAGGAAACTAGAAAGAGCGCACCTTGATTCATGGGAGGTGCCATAGAACAACACCCTTCAACGACATGGGAGTTGTAACCGTCTATACTAAAAGCACAGTGACAGCACTCGCACACACAAACACTGTGCAAGATTGCTGTCCAAGCATCAGCAGGAATGCCGATGGGCGAGTGGAACTCGCGGATAGCCCTTCCAACATGCGAGTCGATGTGTTGGAGATTGGAGAATGCTCTAATGAGACATCCTGGTAGTACACGCTCGTCGTAAATGGCCATAATAGCGTGGGCGGGGTTTGGGCAAGTGGATGGAGATCGGGGCGCTCTAAAGAAAAAATAAGTTAATATGTTCGCAAAAGATGGTAGGTATACGCACGCTCGTAGAAACCACGACCAGCCTCTTCTTCAGTGAATTGGATCAGTTCCAGATCTGCACCAAGTTCAGACCAAATAGCACTGGTCAAAATTTAAAAAAAATGACGTACCAACTGTTTTGCGTGCAATGGCTACCCGTTCACAGAAATATGGCTGGATAGGACCACTCAATGCAGGGGGAAGGTCGTTGATTCTGGGAAAGCGAGGATCACCGTGGAGAAGATACGTCTCCACTTCCCTCGCAGACGAGGAAGACTCTTGCGACGAGGAAGGCTGATCCTCCTCGCCATCATCATCTTCAAAGGAATACATACTATCTGCTAGCATAGTGAATAACGTTAAAGAAGCGCTGCTTGGGAAACACACCGAAATAATCATGCTGTTCTTGAGTCGTAACATATTCAGTCCTACGTTCTTCGGGATCTGGGATGAACACTAAGATAGCGTTAAAAGATTGAACAGAAAGAGATGTATAAGCCATACCATTGCATCCACAGTCGTGGGTTTCAGCCCGATAGAAATTCGCCCGAGCACCAGTGTCGTCAAAGGTTTTGTTGAGGTTGAGAGTCATAAGGCTCTTGCGGGGATCAGAGAACGTGTGCGGACAGCGAGGAGGTTGGAGCCCTTTGATCTTGTGAAACCCGGATGCAGCGACGCGCACCAGTTTTTTTTGGCCTTTGAGAACGCGCATGGGTCTACATTGATTGTTAACATAAGGCAGAATGGCAGAGAAAAATGAAGACCAACAATTTCCAGGGGATCCAATCGTTGGTGAATGGACACCAAGTCACCGGTATCTCCAATTCATTCCACTGAGCAAGGGATTCACGCGCGGCAGAGAAAATGGGCAATTTAGGAGCGCAAACACGCAGGAGTGCCGTGAACCTTCCATATGGGGATTTTGAGGACGAAAAGGGGTGGAGCGTTGAGGGGCCATTTCTGGACATAGAACGAACGGGTTCCTGCATTAAATAGTGCCCCAAGAAAACTACAAGAGAGTTCATCATAGAAAGAAATAGACGGCGAACTTGTGGACGGAGGTCTCCGACAAGAGGGAAGGGCGGAATTATTTCTAGGACATAAATGAACACAGAAGCAAGCGCCGAAACACCCGCCTTTGTGACCTAGTCACTCAAAGCATTCGGCCGAACAGATTTGCGCATTTACGTCGCCAAACACCGGGCCTTGTCCCGACATTGTTCTGGACCTCTCTTGGCAGATTCTGGACAGCTGTTCGGCAGAAGGCACCTGTTCCGGGCCATCATGATGAGACTAATCTAGTCTCTTCTCGTTCCAGTGAACCAACCAACCACGTGACGTCCAAATAAGGAAATTACCCCTATCCTGTTGCAGGTAGCAAGCAGTTTGCTGCGGTATATGTTCTGACATATATATTCAATTGATTTATTAAGAACTTCTTCACAATCACTTTGTTTAAAATATGCATTGCTGCGGCTCGAAAAGCGGTCTCTATTGCGTTCCGCCAGCACGTGATATTGCCCCAATTTAGCATGTTCGTCTAAGCTTGTGCGTGGCAGAGTTTGTGGTGAATTAGGATATGCTAGAGACATTCCTGAGACCCAAATGGTGGCCCAGTGGTCGGTCCCAGCCTCAAACTAGGTGGTTCCCAGAAAAAAAAATTCGGCCTTGCGGCCAAACCAACCACCCAGCCACCGGTCGGCAATCACGGTCCGGTACCCCCTTGAGCGCGATAGAGCGCTTTCGAAAAAGTTCACGAGTAATTTATGACATCAATTTCCTTTTGAACCCCAGCGCTCCACACCTGCGCGCACTGGAGCACAAGCACCTGTAAGCGATGTCAACGAGCGCAAGTCAACTTTGTTTGCGCTCTAGGGTTTTGCAGATGACTTAGGTGGAAATCTCCGCTAAGGAATTCGCTTGATGTGATGAGTAGGTATTTTGTTTCGGTGAACAATTTGCATCCTTCTCAACCGAAGTGGGGGACCGCGAAGCAGTCCCCCGCGCTCTTGTATTTCTTCGATCGAGGCCAGGCAGGAATCCGCAGGATGGAGTTTGTGGCGGTGGACGAGTCCAGTAAAGATGAGCGGGAGATCGCGAGGAACTATGGCCGTTCCCCAGTTATTCTTACCCCCCCCCCCCCCAAACCATATATAATCGGTTTTTAAACGTTAAAGCCATTGGCAGTATGTACCGAAGGTGCGGATGAAAAATTTTCTGTTTGGGATACAGTATTTAACCGGGAAGCGAAACACTCAAGCAAATTCGCAATTCCTGGGCCGAGATTGCATAAAGTTGGTGGGGATCTCTTCATAGATCGATAGAGATGTGTCAGGGCTACCTGGCAATATATAGTTTTATAGGGAAATGCCGTGTTTTGATTGAGAATGAGACCATTCTTCTACAAACATCAGATTTTGCAGAATCACGTGGAAGCGAAACACTGCAAAATCACCTGTGGGCCGCAGTTCGTTGCAATCCAGCCCAAGGGGTGTTTATAGTCGTATTCTACGACCTTGAAAACCCCCAGTTCACACCTGTGCAGGAGGAATTGGGCGCCCAAAATGCTGTGCCTCTGACGGATTACATCCACCAAAATAGGGCAACAAATAGCGAAAACAAAGTGGTCTGCCACAGGTTCTACAGAACCGTTTTGCACAATTCCTTTTGCTATGAGCCATTTCTCATGGCTAACTATCCCCTCACAAAAACTGGGGCCTGTCTGATGCCTGGGATCCGGGAAAAAGCCACTGTTTCGCTTCTACGTAGTGTTTCGCTTCCTAGTTAAATACTGTATTTTTCGAAGAATTCCACAGATCTCAATCAGTTTTGCACCGATTCATATGAAACCTAGCCAGATCTTCCAGGCTAATTCATACGCAATTAGTGATGGAAAGAAACTTGCAAAAAAAACTTCATATTGATTGGCCTGTGATTTTGGACTGTTTCCGCGATAAATAATGTCAAGCATAGTCCAAACATGTTCAAATGAACTGATTCTTTGCAACAGCGAACTAAAATACGTTTAGAAAGATGTCATGAGCCAGAATTCTAGATAATTTAGTCTATGATGCCTGTAATCTCTTCTGGACAATGGGCAATCCACTCTGATCTGGAAATATTGTGAGAATTGAATGCAACCATGAGCTTTCTGAAATTCTGGCTCTATGACATCATTCATAATCCACGTAAGGCTTTCGTCTCACAAAACCAGGCCGTTTGAACAAGTTCCAGGCTTGCAAGAGGGACACCCATGGCGCAGAAATGTCAAAGTGGAAGCCCAATACATTTCTTCGTACGGCGGGTACTTCTTTTCAAATCCACGCAATTTGTTTGTCTGACAATACGCAATGTTCTCGAGGTCGAATCCACTGAAACAGTTACAGAAATTGGCAGTACCGAAGGCGCGGATCAAAATTTTTGTGTTTTGGGATGTGTACAAAGAATCCCTAATATCTCAGCGAGTTCTGCACCAATTCACAGGAAACCTATATAGAAATACTCAGTTAATCTATGCGGAATTAGTGATAGAAATAAATTTGTAAGAATATTGTATATTCAATGACATTGGTTTACTAGGCAAATACAGCGAGTACCTGATGAGATAGAGCCCGCCGGCGCGTTTTGACGTTGCCTCAAAAACACAGTTTCTGCCGGCCAAATTGGAATCAAAGTGAGATGATGCTGCATAGCACCAACTGAGGAGATTCGAACGGTACCAAAATCTTGCAATTCAAGTGGCTGTTGAATTATGACGCGCCGAAGATTGAGGAGCTTCGCGTTATTCGTACAAGTTGTTCTTCAGCGTCTGCTGCCGTGCCTCGGGACCTGACGATTGGAGCGACTGAGTGGTACGAGAATGAAGACATGTTATTCGGTGAATGCCAGGGATATTTCAATACGTTGAATCCAAAGGAAGATTTGGAGCTCCATGAATGGAGCGCGACGCAGACCAACCGATCTCGGGGCAGGAAATGATCGCGCAGCTGAGGACGGATGAGTATTGACGAATCCTGCTGGAGATTGGGGCCTGGATGGTGCAGTTGGTAGCACAACTGGTTTAGCTACATGGTCTTGTTGCGTCCTATCAGCTGCCGTCAGTTCGATCCTGACTCCAGGCTGCTTTTTGGACCTTTACGTTTTACCGACCGTAAGGCCTGTAACATCAGGAAAACACAAAGTTGCCTGATAGTAGCCATAGCCGCCGTAGCAGATCGACCACACCATTTTATAATATCACTGAAATCCACAGCACCGATTTTTCAGAAAATCACTATTTATTTTATTGTGAGACAACGGTACAGAGCAGACATGGTGCAAATGGTACCTACACAGTCGAATCACGGCTGAGAACGGCCGCGTGCAGAACTTTCCGTCGCCACCACCCTGCCCTCCAGCACCTCCGGTGCCTCCTGGGTAAAATAAATACTGATGTTAGTATCCTAGTCAATTTCTCTCGCACCATGGACATTGAAGTTAAGTCTGGATTGTAAGAGACCCACATAGATCTTATGTATGAGGGACAACACTATATCAGCCGGTGTCAAAGCTCACATGGGAGACAGAACTGACCAAAGAACGCAGGAGGAGGATATAAAGCATGAGGAGGATACGTTGCTGCGGTACACTTGGAGGAAGGGAAAGAACTGCTCACTGAAAGACAAGGAGATCGGAGAAACATGCACAGAGCACGTTGTGCTTTAAATTAGACACAAGGCTGTGACGGCAGGTTCGGGGAAGTGGTCAGCCGCATTGTTCGCGTGCAGCACTTACGGGAACGCGTTTTTTCTGAAATAATTTTTTTACGTACAAAGCACCCCCATGTTTGTTCTAAATCTCGAATCTTGGAAGGTTATGATCAAAATTATAGGTTGTCATGAAGTTTTGTCCGCTATCATGCTGTGAACATGTGAAATTGTATATCATGCAAATATACAGAATTTAAAGTTTTTTCAACTTATAATACAATCTTATGGTTAATCCGATTTCACTCGCCATCACTTTCGGAGTCTGTAAATGTGCAGTATGCTGTTGCAGCGAGAGCATGAGAATTTGACAGACCCCATCTCCACAAAGCCGGAGCACTCTTTCCTTTAATCTTATTCTGAGGTCATATACGTATGTCAGTAAAGATACATGAATCTGAGCAGCAGCAGCGCGAATAGAATGTATAAACTAGTATAAATACAGGTAGACAGTGTGGCGAGGAGCTTAGCTTGTCTCGGCACACGGATTGTTGGGTGGTCGGACCAACGAGGTAGCTGGCGTAAAGAGAAGATTGACCGAGTCTCTAACTACGTACAAACAAGGTATTTATACTACGATCATGTGGCTATGTAGATAAGATAGAACTGAGAGATAAGGAGTGGTGCGGTGATCTGCCCGTGCGATAGGTATAGTCCGTAAAGGTAAAATATAGTGAAGGCGACAGGGGAGGGTTCACAGTGAGTGAGGTAAAGGTAGGAGTTAAACAAATAAAAAGAGCGTGTGTGTGTGATACTTACATAAACGGGTACGTAAGTTGAACCGTACGTAGCGCGGCGCTACATACGCCCTCCAGGTTGACGATACGCGGCAACCTAGATATGGTGAGGCTCAGACATCGGCTGATCACCATTTACGTCCGGTTGCGCCGCTTAGATGCCTCCTGGAAGACCTCCTCGTCGCGGGCGCGCTTCTGGGCAACACGGGCGCGGCTAGCAGCCGACTCGATGCGCAGACTAGCGGAATTCTCGCACCTCAGGCAGCACCGCGGTGTTGCCGTAATAGCCCTCTTAGGCCCCCTTCCTTGTAGGCGGACAGGGTACCTAAGAGGGCTCGTCCGCCGCGCGGATTGTAGTCATTAATTAGTCGTGTACCCCATTTGGGAAAATATTGACCTCCACGTTACCCACGCTCCTCCCGCTGCGCCCTCCGCCGCACCTGTTGTTCTTTTTTTGCTTGCTCTTTTCGGGCCGCACCATCTAAGTTCTCGCCAACTATTTCCCTCCCAAATTCTTCTAAATCTAGTAGTCAATTGCTTATATTTTGACCTACCGGAAAATTCTGGCGGAACCATCCGCCACTTTTTTTTTCACAGCTTCGCAGTTGGTTTCTTACCTGTATAATGCAGTACTCTCATTGGCCATATCTCTTCCAATTTCCCTCCGTGTAGCGGCATTGCACCTATATTTTGACCTACTGAACCATTGTGGCGGAACCATCCGCCACGTTGATTTTCACAGGGCCTCTTACCTGTCAAATACAGTACTGTGAACATTGACAGTTCGTCTCATATGTCTCAATTTTCTTGTTTTGGTGCTGCCTTTGGGTTTCCCTCTCATCTAGGTTTGATTTTATCGTGCCTCGACTCCTAGAACACATAGGCAGATGCTTCCGCTGTTCCGCCACTTGATTATCGGCAACATTAGTCTCTGTTAACAAGGTACGTAGCTCAAGCAGCTATCTTTCATTCAATCTTTCCCTTCCATCTAGGTTGATTTTTATTGTGTTTCAACTGTCGGAATTGGGCAGCGGAGGCATCGGCCGCTTCATTGTGGGCCTATCCTATGTGCCTTGCCCACATGCAGAGTCCTCCTACTACTGTGTCTGGACTTGCTACTGTTTTTGTTACTATCTGCGCACTGTACACGGCGGCTTTTTTTCGGGCTCTGCTCTATCATTATTTCCCTTCCCCTCTGACGACTCCTCTAAACTTTCATATTTCAATGCTCCTGGGCTCAGGGTGAATAATCAGATGTCCGAGAATCACTGATTTGGACTGAACAGTGTTAAAAATGTCAAGATAATGTTCCGGACTTCAGCTGATGCCTCCGCGCGTGGTGTGGCGGATGGCGGCGGAGGGTGCAGCAGAGGCATCCGCCGCCTCCGACACTTCGAAAAAAAATCTGGATCAGTTCCAAATGATGTCCAGATATGCAGATTATCATCCTTTACCAATGACTTGAGGTTAACCCCGCGTGTTGAGGTGGGATAGGTTGCAAAATCCTTCGGGATGAAGCCGGGCCGGGTATTGATCAGCCAATCAGAAGACGAATAAAGATCGTCCTAATGTAAAACATTTCTTGCAGGTGCAATATCGCACCAAATAACAAGTCCCCGACACTACATAGTAGCTATACACTCTCCCATCAATAATTGGTGCAAAAATCATACCCTGCTTCAGTTTTTATGATGAACAATTGACGGTGCAAGAATGAGCACCAACTTGCAAGTCGTACTACTTTCTACAGCTGAATCTTGGGCAAACCACATAAACATCTGTGTCCAAGAGTTTGAATATTTTCTTTCACTCTGGATGTCTCTATATGCATTCTATTGACCTTGTAGTGTGTAAACAGCCCTTGGCCGACTGTTGTTTCGAAAGTTGGAGACAAGATTATAGGGGGGAAAACTTCGAAATTTGATTTCCAGCTATAATGTTAATTATGTGTCTGCGATTTCTTTCTGGTGGAAATTGTATATCTCCATTGTTTCAGCCTTTTTCCAGTCAAGATTGTTTCAATTCCAAGTGTAAGAAGTCAACACAAACCGGTGGCTGATACAACAGACACCCCGGCTGATGCCTCTGCCGCAGACCTACACAATTTTTTTACACCGTACTCTCCATGAATTTTGGTGTTCGACTTCATATCTCCAACAGTATGTATTCTTCCAGCAAAGGGGGCCAGAGATAATCCCATGGTTAAAAATTATTTTCGGGCCTGCTAATCCTGCAGAGGGTGGTACACCAAATAGCACATGGAGAGAGCGAGTGATTGGGTCAGCCTTAGGTTCCCAGATGGTGAGAAAATACCCAAATAACTGCCCAAGAGCGGCACTTGAAAAGAGTTACCGATAGGACACCAAGCAGCAGAGGCCTCTGACAGTAAGTTCTGGGAGTCAAATTATGTCAAACTCAATGCTATATGAAGGCAAACATTATATATAGCACCTGGATAATATGGTTGAGGCTAATCAGGCCGACAATCGAACGGCGGAGACCTCCACCGCTATGTTTGGCAACCGAAAAAACCATCAAATACTGTCCAGCTGTACTGAAAACATTGGATAACTGTTCACAGTACTGTATTGGACAGGTAGGAGGCCAACCAGCCTGTGAAAATCAATGTGGCGGATAGTTCCGCCACAATGGTTCAGTAGGTCAAAATATAGGTGCATTGCCGCTACACAGAGGTTAAAATTGGAAGAGAAATGGCCGATGAGAGTACTGCATTATACAGGTAGGAAACCAACCGCAAAGCTGTGAAAAAAAATGTGGCGGATGGTTCCGCCAGAATTTTCCGGTAGGTCAAAATATAAGCAAATCACTGCTAGATTGAGAGGAAGTTGGAAAGGAAATGGCTGGTGAGAACTTAGATGGTGCGGCCCGAAAAGAGCAAGCAAAAAAAAAACAACAGGTGCGGCGGAGGGCACAGCGGGAGGAGCGTAGACTCGTTACCAGTCTGCCACGGCAATTCTTTAGTGCAAGCACCATGCCGTAGGCAGACTGGTACAACTCGGGACACGCCAAAGGGCTGAGCCCGGAGTTTGAAATTCTTAGGTGGCGCCGATGACGGCAGATGACGTCGTTCCCGGTGACGTCGGTTCGAAAGTAAGTTTCTCAATTAAAACTGGCTCTCGCGTGCAGACTCTCTGGGGGTAAAAAAAAAAATCTGAATAGACAGAAGTGTAGCTATGAGCCTTACATCCCTACCCCTCCTTTTAACTGAGAAGAAATAATCAAATTCGACACCATAACGATGGAAATGGAAATTTTCAAACTCCGCGCTCAGCCCTTTTAACGCTCCCGAGTTGTACCAGTCTGCCTACGGCATAGTGCTTGCACTAAGTATTGCCGTAGCAGGCAGACTGGTTACGAGTCTAGGAGGAGCGTGGGTAACGTGGAGGTCAATATTTTCCCAAATGGGGTACACGACTAATTAATGACTACAATCCGCGCGGCGGACGAGCCCTCTTAGGTACCCTGTCCGCCTACAAGGAAGGGGGCCTAAGAGGGCTATTACGGCAACACCGCGGTGCTGCCTGAGGTGAATTCTCGCGGGTCTTCTGCGACTCGCGGATGTTACGTTGCTTCGCCACTATGCGACGTTGCTCGCTCTCGATGATGTGGTCATACCAC